ATCATATCTAACAACACCAGATGTAGAAAATAAATTTTGAAGTAATATATGAAACACTTGAAAGTACTGGTGAAATGAAACTGATGATGAAATTTTACCTGTGTTTTACCTGACAATTCCTCTGAACTTTGAAATTTACTTGCTCGAGTTCCCATGAGAAATTGCTTTTGGTGTTATTTCAGACAACTGTTTATATCTTTAGCTTTTAGAAAATGCAAAAGGGACTGTGATATACTTAAAGTTATTCTGGTACAAGGTTTGTGTCCATTAAAAACTGAAATTGCTCGAGTCAAGAAAAATGTGACGAACAATGTCAGGTATATAATAATATTTTAATTCTCGGAAATATGGCATTGCATGATATAACTTACAAAAACACCAAGTGCCCACTGAGGAGTACTGTTATTTTATAAGTTTCAAGTATACTTTAAAATCAAATTCCAAATATAATAAAAATAAGGCAAAGTTGATATTTGTTACAATGGCCCAGTACTGGAATATCTTCCTAACAACCAACATAAACAACTCTAACACTTGAATCAAAAATGCCTAAAGAGATTTAGTTCAGAATTGCTATGAAAAAAGATATTTCATCCAATTCGCAAATCTATATTTTTTCGACTCGGCTTGCTTTGTTATTCGCCTGACGATATCCTTGCAATAAAGATGGCATATTGCGTTACAGCATTCATTTTCTCTCCTGCATCTTAATTATCTACATCTTAGATCTATGATGTACTTTTTTCAAGTTAGCATTTCTCCCGTATTATTTTTAGTTGTCAGATGGCAAATGTTTTCAAATTGCATGTCTGACTATGTACGTATTGCGTATCTATTTTATGTGACTTATATTCTCTTACGCCTGAGTATAGGCTACTTGGAGCCTCTTGTTAATTAAGGTTTGGACTATATGTAGAACCGTTAATCATGTCTTTTAATGCCTAGAAAGGAAAAATTATTGTTCACTAATGTACTTCAGCTGTAGCGAGAATCTAAAGAAAATGCAGATTTCAGATTTCAGTGTTTCCGATGGCGTACAAGAAGGCAAATAAAGTTGACAGTGCTACTAGTTTAACTCAGCTTCTGGGATTCCCCACAATATATTTACGATTATTTCACGCTGTTAGTCTCGTGGCAACAGTGTATGGCATATAAAACCATTTTCGTTCACTTAGTTCAATAAAGTTAACAATAAAGTCACTTAGTTAAGTTAGTCAGTTTTTATTTAAAGGTTTTAATGATTCCTAGTTTTACTTTCATTTTTA